TTCTAGAACTTTGTGAAGGTCACATGTGAAATGTGATGTCACAGACCAGAGTTCCAGACCTTTGCATCAAAGGCAAGCCAAGTGCTTAGCTCCCGACTGAACAGCTGATTGTCACACTCACTTTCTGTCATCTAGCGAGCAACTCCTAGCGTTTTACCAAACGAAACAAAGCCCAAGCTTCTTTCAGAACTACCGTGTTCGAGAAGAACCTTAACAACCGCCTACAACCACTTTAGTTTTTGCACTTTTTTTGCAACACCACTGCTAAACTTTACCCGGTACCATGCCGAAGAGGGGCCATGCAAAGCGCCAAGGAGGGACGGCCTCCGCTGCCCACCGTGATGCTTCTCAGGAAGAAGCCAACTCCCAGAACAAGCACAACTACGAACTGGACCTTCGCATCAAGGAGCTCATAGCTGAGAACAAGCAGCAGAGGCAAGGTGCCAAAGCGAGGATCAGCCAGCTGGAGGAGCTCCTGCAAGAGAAAGAGAAGGAGCTACAGGACGAACGCCAAAAGAACGAGGCGAGAATCTACGTCCTGGAAGCGCAGCTCAGAGATTGCGAGTTCGAAGAGCCGGTGGAGACCGAAGAGAACGTCGTGGAGTCCGAACAACAGCAGGACTTCGAGGTCTCCTTTGAATACATGACAACGTCGTCCATGTCGTGGGGAGACATGATGGAAGACGTAGATGAGCTCAAAGAGAAGCTGGAGGTAAAAGACAGAGAGATTCTGAAACTCAAAAAACAGGTTCGGAGTCTCTCTGCGGGTCTTAAAGCTTCTCAGGACATCCAGAGAGATGAAATCACATCTCTGGAAGACAACAAAGAGCTGCAGCAGGTGATGATCTCTGTGGAGGAGCAGCAAAAGGAAATCCTGAAACGCCAACAAGAGCTCGAGCAGAAGGACAAACTCCTGCAAGAGCAAAGGATCGCTCTGGAGAAGCAGCAAGAAGGACTGCAGAAAAGTCAGCAGGAGCTCCAGCAAAAACAAAAGCAGCTGCACGAGGAGAAGAGCTCACTTGTCGAGCAGAAAAAGGAAAACCAGAGAGACAAGAAACAGCTCGAAATGAAGAACAAGGAGCTGCAGGACGAGAAGAAGGCGTTTGAGCAGGAAAGAAAAGACCTGCAAAACAGTACAAAAGCCTCAGAGGACATGAAGAAAGAGCTTCACGCCGGGAGGAAGGAACTTGAAGAGACTCGGAAAGTTCTGGAATCTCAGGCTGTCCAAGTCAAGAAAGAGCAGACGGACCTGGATGAACGCAAAAAAGCTCTGGACAAAGAACAGAAGGAAGTGGACGAGGTGAAGGAGAAAATGAAGGAGGCTTACCTGAAGGAAAAAGACACAAAGATACTGGAGATGGAGGAGGAGAGCAGGAAGCTGGAACAAGAAAAAATAGAAATCCAGGAGAACAATGCAAAACTGGAACGAGAAAAGATGGAAATGGAGGATGAGAATAAAGAACTCCGGCACAAGAACAAAAGACTGGAGCAAGAAAAGATGGAAATGGAGGTGAACAATGAGAACCTCCAAAAAGAGAACAGAGAGCTGAAGCAGCAACAAGCACAGCTCGCAGACAGAAACCAAGAGCTGCACCAAGACCAGACCCAGCTCCAGAATGAGGTCCCAGAGCTGGAGGTGACACCAGACGTGGAGGAGCAAAGGACGAAAAAGAAGAAGAAGGCGGGCTGTTGGAGATGGTTGTTCAAGAAGTCGTGACCAGGAGGAGGAGGCTCTTGAGCTTCCTCTGACTCACCCCTTCCTCACCCTTCAACTCCCCCTTTACTCCCTCCTTTACCTCCCCCATCCATCCATCCATCCATCCATCCATCCATCCATCCATCCATCCATCCATCCTTCGTCATCAAAAGAAACCTTTCCTCCTTCCCTCGATCTCCCCCCGATGTCCTCTCCACCTCCCCTTTTCCTCTTTCTACCCCCTTCTCTCACCCCATCTTCCCCCCCTTCTCTCTATCACCCTTTTTCCTCTTTCTACCCCCTTCTCTCACCCCCTGACCCCACCCTCTCTCCCCCTCTCTACCTTCTCTCTATCTACCCCCTCTATTAAACCCCAATCACATAAATCCATTAAAAAAAAAATCATAAAAGAAATGAAATAAACAAACTCAATGATATTTCAAATGTTCAATGTTCAATGATGTTCAAATGTGAAAAAATAAATATTAATAGGTACGTTTATTAGCAGACTTACTAATGTCTGCAACTAAAACAATTCCCAGCAAGAAAATAAAATATTTTTAAAAAAAGGGAAACACATTTGTCTACCATGTTTTCCTAAGAAGACCTCATGTATCATAAGTGACAAAAACATGGATTCTGAGTGGAATATAAGTGTCCCATTTCGAGGAGCTCCAGCAGATTCAACTCTGCACTTCTGCAACATTTTTGGACTCTTGATTTAAAATAAAGAATCAAAGTCGACAAGGCAGTACCAGAGATATTGTCTGTTTTATCCTCCACTTCCTTTTTCCTCGTCAAAACCTGGCGCCTACACNATACAGATTTTTCCATTTACTATATCTTACACTGTTAACTTAGAGCTATGCTGCGGCAGCGACCCAGTTCGGCGGTCACATCATGGTGCTGTTGGATTGTTTCAATTTAATCTTCATCTTAACTCGAGAAATACTGAGAAGAAGTTCCTACAACATGCACTGACCTTCTCCCTCCTCTCCGTCGCTCAGATTAGCCTGCGTCTGTCACACCTTCCACTACATGAAGAGGCTCATAGAGACTATCTTCGTGCATCGGTTCTCCCACGGGACCATGCCTCTCAGGACCATAGTCAAGGTGAGGACGTCTGAAAAGCAGGGCTTCTGATAACACCTCCCTCACAGTGTGTGGCCTCTTTTTCCCTCCTCCTCCCGTGCCAGCTGTTTTTAATGTCTATTTATAGGGACAGGAGCCACACTGGCACTGTCGCTGCTAATTTACTGTAGCTGCACCTAGATGGGCCTTTAATGCGCATAAGAGCACTAATGATGTGATAAAGTGACATAAAATGACGCCTTGATGCTAATCTTAGTAGACGGGACTGTATTTAATACAGAATATGGCTGCTTGCTTTGCACAGTGCAGTGGCAGCAGCTCTTCTATATTTACAGTAATTCATTGAACATTTTCACACATATCCGTATTTCTGTGTTTTCTTTCAGAATTGTGCCTATTACTGGGGTTTCTCAGCCTGGCTGGCCTACTACATCAACCACCCTCTGTATACTCCTCCATGTGAGTTAGCCGCCACAAACACACACATTGTTGTTGTTGTTTTCTATATTTTCTGCAGCGTACCAATGACTTTCTCTCTTCACAGCATATGGAGAGCTACAAGTCAACTATGCACTAGTTATATTTGTGGTACGTATACGGATATTCACACCGGCTCCACCATAAACTCGCTCTTCCTGATTTGTTTATTTCTGCTCTAGATGTGTGAACTGGGCAACTTCTCCATTCACTTGACTCTGAATAATCTCAGAGGAGATGGTGAGTTGCTGCTGTTTGCTTCCATTGCAGAAGGAATGCAGCAAGTTTTTTGAACACGTTGTCCAGTCCTTCAAGTTAGATTCTATGTGATCATATTATACGCTTTAACCCTAGTCAGGACTTTTGGACCCCAGGCCATTTGGTTTAGGTGATAGGTATTGTTTTTTTTGTTTGTTCTTTTTGGCATTTGGAACCAAAAATACATCAACTTCCCAGAAAATGTGTTTAGCTTAGTATAAAGGTCTATAATGAATACCAACAAGTATTTTGCACATATCCTTCTTGGTGTTAAGGTTTCCGTCTGGGCGTGATCCAAAAATGCAACAGAGGGGTTAGGTCAGAAGCAAAAACTATTTATTTGTTGCTGCAGGAAAATGGTGGACGCCGGGAAGCACATGAGGGTAGCTGAGTGAGGGAGGGTTTTCCAGTGGAGGTTTCCAAAGGGAGGCAGAACTGCTGAGGCTGGAGCTTGGCTGCAGAAGGCTGGGTCTGTGAGGCGTCACTCCAACGGGGAGGCTCTGATATAAATGCAGACAAAAGCACAATTGGACAAAGCAAGACTCTTCTAGCAGACGGTTTCCCTAGACAACTGGCTGGTCTGTTACCACTCCAGGGAGGAATAATGTACTGGCGCTGGAGCACAGGTGGAGGCAGGCTTTATCCAGCGCTGATTATCAATGAGCCTCAGGTGTGGAGGAGAGCGAGTGCGTCCTCTCCCGTCCAACAGCCCCGCCCAGCCTGAAACGAGCCTGTAGCCCACAAGCAAATACACACTTATCAAAAACACACAAAAAGTTGGATCACTACACTTCTACAGTCGTCCTCAGATGTATTCATACCCTCCTATTAAAGAAGGAAAAAAAAAACAGATGTCACTGAAATAGGTTGAAATTAAAAAGTAATAATAAATAAAAATGTAATGAAAATCATGACATTGCTTTTGAATTGTGGTTCAACAGAAATGTTTAATAAAAAAAAAACAAAGCATGCTGGGACCCGTAAACTAATACTTGGTTGAACAACCCTTTGAGCCAATCACTGCCATCAGGTGTTTCTTGTAACCGTCAGTCAGACTTCTGCACCTGTTGACAGGTGTTCTGGCCCACTGCTCATCAGCAAAGTGCTCTAATTTTTATTTTTTTAAATTATTCTTTTCAACCACAATTCAAAAGCAATGTCTTATTTCAGTAAATTATAATTTAGCAAATTTTTATTTATTATTACTTTTTTCAGTTTCTAGTTATTTGAGTGACTGTTGTGACTTTTTGCCTTTTCTTTAATGGAAGGATATGACTGCATTAGAGGACAACTGTACATATGGCAACATGAAAGTCCTGAATAGGGTTAAAACCATTCACTTGCTTACAAACGATGACTTTTGTAGTGATCAGTGCTACTTTGGTGGATTGATCCACCATGAGGATGCATGTTTCTACAGTATATGTTCAAAATTGAGAGAAATATGACGTAAATAAAACTTGAATGTTGTACAAACTCAATCTTTTCTTTATTTAAAACAAACATTTGTCAGGATCCAAGGGCAGAAAGTTTCCTGTGCCAAACAAGAACCCCTTCACGTGGCTGTTTTTCTTTGTTTCCTGTCCGAATTACACATACGAGGTACAGTTACACAAAACAGTTGTAACATGTGGTCACAGTGATGAAAATCCTAAATGCTTGTGTTTTTTTCTTGACACATGCTGCAGGTTGGAGCTTGGGTGAGCTTTTCCATCATGACCCAGTGTCTGCCAGGTAGGTACTGTTTACTACATGAATCCACAGTGACACCACTTACTAAACCATGTGCATACAGATGGGGGACTGCAGGACAATAAGACGGGCTTTATAGGCCAAGAGTCGTCCAGCTTTACAAGCACTCACTGTTCCGCACGTTTACCATAAATGCTCTCCTGTCCTCTGTCATTGCATCCTCCAGTGGTGTTCTACACATTCCTGGGGTTCATTCAGATGACCATCTGGGCCAAAGGGAAGCACAGAGCCTACACCAGGGAGTTCAAGGACTATCCCAGCCTGCGAGTGGCCATCATCCCCCTGATCCTCTGATAGCGGCTGAAGCATGCTGCAGCATGTAAGGGTTGTAAACAAAGAAGTTTGCTGCTGCTGAATCCAGCTCTATGCAATGTTTTTTGTTGTTGTTTTTTAAACTAATGAATGAGCTGAAACAAGTAGAAATAGGAGCAATAATGTCAATATACTTGAGCCTTTAAAACTGCTGGGAATATAATTGTGTTCAGTTTCAACAATGGGTCGAATTAGATTTGGTTCGTTACAAGTTTGATGAGACACATTTCCACTGCTGTTGTATTTTGTTTGTTTTTTTTGTTGACATTTGTCACAATGTTGGATTTTGTGGTGCTCACTGCAAGCTGGCTAATTAGTGACGTTTTTCCAGTTAAATGAAAGAAATACAACATACAGTCGTGACTCCATAATCCGACCCTAACAATCCTAAACCTGCTATCCAACAGGATTTTAGGAAGAACGAACAAAACCCATGAAAAACAGCCTTAACATAGCGACAGTCTTGGATTCTGACTCCGACATGACATTTAATGTCACCAATCAGGATGACGGCGTATTATCTGACTGAACA